GATCTCATGAGTTCAAAAACCTCACCAAGCTTAAAGATAATCCAGAAATGAAAGCATTAAAGTGAAATGTTGGTGTGAAAATAAAATATTATTATGTGAAAAAAAAATACTGGGCTTTATTCTGAGAGAGAGAAAAATTTGGGGGTGCAGCAGAAATGATGATATGGATAAGAAAAATGGTATTCTGATACATTACCTGGGGATTAAATGCCTATACCTCTGAGATAAGTGGGTGTGCAAAACAGCATACACTGTATATGAATGTGGCTTATAAACATGTGTGTTGTGGATTCACAACTGCAGCCCCCAAATAGTGAAACAGTGTACAGTATCTACTGATGTCTGCAAGTATGAATCTTATACTTCAGAGTAACTGTAAACACACTACTGTGCTTTGTTCACTTTGAAATGGCTTTTGTTGCTGTTCAGCAACAGAAAAATGGCACCTGTTCAGAAAGAATCATACCCTTAAAACTGCATCCTTCTAAATACTAATATTACAATTCTACAAATCATTGAAATTGCAGTGAATCGGTGTTTAGAAGAAGCATTTTAGTCTTTTCTTTTTATAACATAAGTGGGTTATTTTTAAAAAAATCCTCCAGAGCACACTGTCTTTTGAAAAAGCAGATTTTTCTGACAAACATTATAAATTCTACTAGAAGATAATAATAGAATCATCATTCCAGGATTGTGGTTATTAAAAAACAAAATTTTTCCATTGTTTCTGTGTTTATGGCATTTCCTTGAAAAGCCTTTTCTGTGTAAGCATCTCATAGAATTCTTTACTTCCCTAACATCATCTTTATTATGTACTACTTTAATGGCTAGTTTAATGTTCCTGTTATTTTCTGAACACTCACAAATGCATTAATTATGTTTTGTCCTGATCACATAGGCTACGTTCCTAACATGCTTCTGATTAAAATACTATCTTTCTATCATACATCTCAATATTTTTGTTATAAAAATAAAGATACTATCTACTGTGTGCCAAGAACTGTTGTAGACACTGATGACTGACAAGCAAACATATTCTATGACTCTTGAAGCTTAAGTTCTATAGCAGATAATAATCAAGTAAACAAATCAATACATACAATCATTTCAGGTAATTTGTAATTTGTATGAAGAAAAGTGAAGCAGGGTAAGTGAATAGCATCAGGGGTAGGATGCTATTTTAAATTGGGAGTCCAGGAGAAGCCATTTTAGAGGAAGTCTGAATTAAATGAAAGAGGAAGCATGTAAAGATCTAGGGGAAGGACAGTCTAGACAAAAGAACAGCATATGAGAAGGGAATCAGTCTGCAATATTTGAGAAATGTCAAGAAAGCCGAGTACCCGTATCATGTAGGCCCTTCTAAACTATTGTTAGGGTTTGGATTTGACTCTCCCCTGGACAGTGAAAGGAGAAGCCTGTAGGGTTTGTGAGACAGTCAGGAGAGAGCGGTGTCATCAAAGCCGAGTGAAGAAAGTTATTTTGAGAGGAAAAAATGATGAACTGGGCCAAATGGCTGAGTTGTCAAGTAAAGAGTGGTAGGTTTGGCAAGATGACATTGTTAGTAATCTTGAAAGGCAAGCATTCACTGGAGTAGAGGGACTAAAGCCCATTGGAAACAAGAAAACAGAGATACCAAGTCTGGAAAATTCAGTTTTGTTCTAAAAAGGAGCAGACAATGGAGGAAATGTTTGGAGAATCAGGTGATGCAAAGAAAAGTTACTTTTTGTTTGTTTTTGTTTTATTTTTGAAAGATGGGTGCTACTCCAGGCTGTTTGTATGGGGAAAAGAATGATGCAGTAGAAAAAAAAAACCAGTATTTATGATGTGGAAGTGAAAATTCATAGTACAAGGGCAGAGAACACATGTAGGCGAGAGGGGATGAGATGCAAGGTACAATGGAGGGATGAATTTTTCATAGGAGAAATGAAACTTTAATGAAACAGGAGGGAGGGAAAGCAACAGATACAGACATAAATGAGAGTTAGCTAGTATAGCTCCTGGTGCAGAAGTGAAGTACTTCTGTTTTCTCAGTTAAATAAGAAGGATGGCCACCACCCAAAAATGAAGAGAAAGGAAGTGTTATCTAAGATCTGAGGAAACTGGAGAAGGTATGAGATAGTTGTTTCAGAGAGTTACAGGGGAAAGTAACGAAGGACATAAAGTAGGAATGCTGGACAATGTTGATGGCCCTTGTAGTAGGTAGCCTATAAGATGGCCCTTGGGACCCCCCAGTGGCTCAGTTGGTTAAGAGCACGAGCTCTGAGCAACAGGGTCGCCAGTTTGATTCCCACAGCGCCGGGGATGAGCTGCCACTGAGCTGCCAACAGGTGGCAGGGTGGCTCAGCTGGTGAGGGCACGTGCTCCTAACAACAAGGCTTCTGGTTCGATCCCCGCATGGGATGGTAGGCTACGACCACCCACAACTAAGATTAAACACAGCACCTTGAGCTGAGCGGCCGCGAGCTGCCCATGGGTGGCCAGATGGTGACTGGACTTGGAGCTAGGCTAGCTGTGTTTTCCACAAATAAGACTGAAGGACAACAACTTGGCTGTTCCCCTTCCCCAATTCCCCAATAAAATCCTAAAAAAAAAAAAAAAAAAGATGGCCCTCAATGATCCCCATCGTTTAAGATTTAGGCTCTCATGTAATCCTTTCCTCTTATGTAATCCTTTGCCCCAGAGTGTGGGCTGGATTTATTGACTCACTTCTAACAAACAGAATATGGGGAAAGTGATGAAATGCCACATGTGAGATTAGGTTATAAAAAGGCTGTGGCTGGGCCGGCCGAGTGGCGCGATGGTTAAGAACTGGCTTGGGACACCAGAGGGCCTCGATTCGGATCCCACATATGAGGGCCAGTGACACTGCCCTCCACAGCTAAGATGCTGAACAACAGCTCAACCTGGAGCTGGGCTGCCGTGAGTCGCCGGCGACGGCATAGGCTGCAGTGGAGCTGGCCGGCAGTGGGCTTTCATGAGCTGCCATGAGCCGCCGTTGTGAGTGGCCATTCAAGGGCCATTGAGCAACTGCCTAAAAAAAAAAAAAAGGCTGTGGCTGCCAGCCTGGGCACTTGCTCTCTCTTGAATTGCTTACTCTAGCGGAAGCCAGCTCCCGTGCATTGAGGCAGCCCTGTGGAGTGACTCGTGTTAAGGAAACAAGACTTGCCAATAGCTACATGAGTGACCTTGGAAATAGATCCCCATTTCCCCCACTCCCACCCCAGACAAGTCTTCAAGATGAGGCCATAGCCCTGGCCAACAACCTGACTACAGCCTCATGAGAAACCTCAAACCAGAGGCCTCTGCCAAAGCTGCTGTGAGATAATTTTTGTTGTTTTCAGCTGCAAATTTTTGGTGGTAATTTGTCATGTATCAATAGATAACTAATACAGCTCTCTAACTAATAGATATGTGTTCATAAATTAAAAACATAGTAAGTGCAGTTACAAATGTAAAAGACAGTCAGCAGAGGTGTATGTTTTTTCTATTTATGTTCTGATGCACAGAAAAGGGTGTGCAAGATACTAAACAAAGTGAAACACAGGTTATCCCTAGAGGAGAAGAGAAAAGGATGGGGGAAGAGGAGATGAAATGAACATGCATTTTCAGCTTTGACTTATATATTTCTGCATGATTTGAGTTATTTATAATCATTCTTTATGTGTATAACTTAAAGTAAAAGACAATCTGAACAAAAAAAGTATCTCTGAAGACATCTTTCTCATAATACACTATAGAGTACACACAAACTAGTTTACTAGGGAAGCAAAATCACACTGATCTGCTTCTTGAACTGCAATCTGTGGTTCCTGGCATTCTCTACAGGGCTGGGATTAGTCACTCTGGAACACTGACAAGTGCAAGGTAAAGCCCTCAGACCACAGTAAAATGGTTATTTGCAAATGCCAGGTTTTAGCCTCTGGTAAGCACCACTATTCCCATTCCTATGTAAAACTCCAGATGGACCCTCTGCTCAAGGTCCAGGGCTCTGCAGCTGCTGGCAAAGCATGCTGGGAGGCTTGGCATCTATCATCCGCCTGTTTCACTTTTCTCTGTGTGAAAACCTTTGGAGGCACAAGGATAAAAGATATCTTATCATTTAGGTGTCAAGTACTGTTAAGTAAGATTCGCCAAGGTTTTCATTGACTGTGTCATTTTAGCCAAATTATTCTCGCAGGCTGTTACTCTATGGAGGTGTAAAATACAAATAGGGAAAATAATGACTTTTTGTGGTTTGTTTTGTTTTCCATTACTGTGCCTAACTTCTGATGGCAAATCCTTTCAGTGTGGGTGGCTTCCCTGGCAATTACTCACTGGGCTGTGCTTACTCTGCCTGCTTTCTAAAAATTGTATCCCTTAATAGAAGGTATAGAAATGCAGAGTTGTTTGTCAATTCAATGAAAATAATTCAAAATTAATGGTAGATAACTGAATATAATCTTGTTGAATTTTCCACTCCTATTAGATTGAAATCTTTCAAGCAGGGACCATATCTTCTGTATTCAACATTCAGCATTCACTAAACATCTCATATTTTGCCAGGCAAGTGATATGTTAAAAATAGCCCAGAGTAGCGTGTATTGTGTCAATTATATTTGGCCATATCACCATTGTTTTCTCTCTACCCCTTTTTTCTCTCTGTCCTGCTTTCCTCATCTATTTTTTCCTAGCTCGTTTTAGGTCACATTTTTGCATGCTGTTATTCACAAACTGATCTGATACTATGGGTTTATTCATTCTAAAAATACCCTTCAACAGTTGCAAATATCCAAAGAGAATTGGTTTAATGTCACAAATTTTAATTACCTAAAATCAATTACCATAATTAGCAAGCAAAAGTTAGATTTTAACACATTTCCAATCATTGTTGTATAAACACACAGCAAAAATCACCAATAACTTAAACATTAAGTCAATGCCTACTATTTACATCTTACTGCACATTCCTCAAGTTGAACAGGGGTTCTTAAACTCTAGTTCTTCTGCTTGTACTGACTGACCTTCACACGATTCTCCACTTGGTGAAAACATCCCATTGTCGTGGTAGCCGTCTCTGCACTCACAGTGGTACCACCCAGGCAGGTTAATGCAGTTAGCACGGCTGTCACACTGCACAAAGCCATCAGAGCACTCATCAATGTCTGTTTGGCAAAGAAAACAAAAATGAGATGTTATACAATTGCTGCTGTTCTCTCAAAGAAGTGAACATAGCCTACTAGATGGCTACTGACATTTTAGAGCCAGCAAATCCTCAAAACTGCGAAAACCTAAGATCAAGAAAGTCTACTTGGTTATTGGAAGCTATACAAAAAGTATGTAGTGGATTAGAAACAGGAGAAACATCTAGATGACTTCTCTATTGCAGAAGTCATCCAACTGTAGAAAATGGAAAGAAACCATCTATGGTAGTTATTAGTGTCGCTCACCAGGTATTTCTAGCTCTTCTTCTGGACACAAGCTAGGATTGCCATGTGACTTCCTGAAGCTAATTAGGGAGGGACACATGTCACTTCTAGGCAGAGCTTTAAAGATGCAGTGTGTGAGTCACATGTTCCCACCCTCTATCACAGTGACCAGCAATTTCCAGAGGCTCTGAAGATCAGCCCAAGTTCCTAAGTGAGAATGATGTGGGACACGCCCCTTTTCTACATGGGATGGACATTTACTATGGGCGAAAAATCAACCATTTAGCTTTAAGCCACTGAGGTTTTAGGGTCTTTTATTACCATCAGCATAACCTATCCTAACCTGACTAATATATCATTGATCATTAATATATAGCAATAGCATTCACGTATGAACATGCTTCAGAGTTTTGAGTATACCATTTATGTCATTTTTAATGGGTTTCACAAATATTGCTTCATTTAAACCTCAACAAAAATCTTATCATATAGATAACATATCACACACATGCAAAGAAAACAAGGCAAAAGGAAATTAGGGGATTTAACCAAGGTACTTAAAAGTTCACAGTCGTCAGGAGTGTTTGCCTTCAAACAAAGTAGACACAGACTGGAATTGGCAAAATTGTCTAAACAAAGAGAACTATTATATATTTTGAGTCTCATATATTTCTTCCAGTGGCTTATTACTATTCCCAAATATTGTGAGCAAGCCCTTTATTCTCCTGTTCAGTCTGTTGCATAATGGGAACATTTACCCCATCCACATCTCTTCCTTTGCTTAGGGAGGAAAAAGTAATTCCTGTTGTTGCCTTACAAAGTGTCTCCTTCTTCTCAAGCACCTTCTGGGTTTTGGGCATCAACTCAGACCCTGCTAAGTATTCTGATGGTACTGCACCATTGTAGCCACCCCAAATACCCACATGCACCCCACTCCCTTCTTGACAGCCCTATACTGTGACTGAAGACCCCTTAGGAGGGTTGGCTATCCCTTTCTTGTATGACACCCACACCTGCATCATATTATCTGCTGCACTGATGAGGCACAATGGTGCCCCTCATGTTGAAGAGAAGGCCAGTGGCTTTGTAGAGGCCTTTCCCCCAAGACAGTCAGCTTTAGCTCAGTTACTTCCTTTCTATTTTGGTGGTATCTAATTCCAAATTCTTGAAAATATAACATTATTTCTGAACTGAGAATGTTTTTGCCTCTGTGGTTACTCTTCTGAAGACTCAGTTTCTTCTGTCAGTACTCCTTGCTGTCAAAATAATTGTTAATGACCAAATCAGCTAACCATTGACTCCCTGACACATGGCTGATGTGGACTGCTTCCATTTACTAAGGCCTCATGGGTTTTATGAAACAGCCTATTTGTATTTCAAAGGCCTCCATAACTGAAGAACCTCTGATTATCAATGGAACTAAAATGTTATGCTCATTTCAGCTTTCTACGGTCTTTCCTTCTAACCCAAATGATGCAGAAAATTGATTATGTCATTTCTTAAGTGCATGGACAAAAGAAAACAGGTTGAAATTTAAGCTTGAGAAGTGAGTTTATTGGAAGAAAGCCATAAGGGGATGTTTAGAACATCTCACTTTAGAAGAGTCTGATCCTTAGTGTCGGTGATTTGGAAGTAACTCTGAATGGAACAGAGCCTTCTCCACTGAAGCAACTACTGCATCTATATTTAGCTTTTAATTCAGTCCTTTTTTTCTCGCCTGAACACAGTTGCAGGGTTACCTCAGATCCCATGACACAGATATATATTTCAATTTTTACTTCTCACTTATTTTCTCCTGTCACTCTTTTAAATCACCAGGCCCACTCCTATACCGCCTCATCTGCACTTCTTTTTATTGCATTACGGCAACCTTCCTTGATCTTAAACATACTCATTAAAGATTAACAGAAATGCCTTGCATTATATTACTTAGTTTTCAGAAGACTGGTGATACAAACATACATATATTGGCCATATTTTCACATATAGTTTGAGATTTATTTTATTATGTAGTTACTACTACTAAGTAGTATTTTAGAGGATGAATATGCATATATGCATCACTCATTAACTTACCATTCAATATTTATGTGCCAAGTACTGAGTGCTGGGAAACAAGAATGCACAAACCAGAAGTAATTTCTGCCCTCACTAGGTTGACTATATATCTAAATTGTGTTTATTTTAAGAAAATTAAATTTATAAAATCTGAATTTACAATCATATGGGACAGTTCTTTCTCAACATGTTATACATATACCACCCCTGGTATGGTATTCAGGTGATAATAAGCAGATCTTTTATATGAATAGCTACATATTTATATTTCTGAATTATTTCCATTTATAATAGTATTAATAATACTAATAATTATAATACTAATAGTAGCAAAATCATATTTGAATTTAAAAAGTGAGAGGGATTACAGAAACTATTAAGTAAATATTGGTATAAATGGTGTATGAATATGACAAAAATTATGAAGATGGTATACTAATGACTGAAGTTTTAAAAACACCATTATACAGTATGGAGTGATTATTCACATTTCAGAGGGTTCTGCTGAGTAATTCCTCAGGTAGTGAAATGCCTTAATTCATTTAAAATATGATTCAATTTATACAATACATAAGTATACAGATACCATAGTTCAAATTATACACTTGCTACTTATATACTTAGGATAGCAAAGAAAAACTAGTGAGATAACATACATTGCTTCATTTTACACTTTCATGTTCCTGGTAATTTTGATTTGTTTATGTAAACTTTCCTACTTTGGTGAAAGTCAACAGAAAATAAAATTGTCCTTGAATTGTCAGGGTATGCACTCCATAGCAGAAGGTAACTTTGTTTGGCTCATGGCTCTAGTTAAAGCCAACGATAAAACAAACGGCTTCTTCTGTAAGTTATTTGATGGACTCAGATAATCACTAAATATTTAGTAAGTGAAAAACTGAAATCTGATCCACAATTTAAGAATTAAGTATATCCTATCTATATACAAATATAGATATTACATAATGAGTTATAATATATAGGTGCTTTACATATTGTGTAATAACAGAAAACAGTAAAAAAATTCAAAAAATGTATTTCTTGGGTGCTTTCTTTAGGCAATTAAAACCAAACTTCACATTATCTAATTAAGTAAGATATACAGAGAACAGCAGATCTAGGGGAGAAAAATATTATTATTTTATTCCACATATGAACTACCAAGTTTGAACAAATTACCTGGCAAATTGAATAAAAGTATTCAAAATCATAGTACAGAGTGTATAAGCTCATATCATATGATTGTAAGGACCTTGATTTTGCACCCTATAGGCACATTATAAAACTAAAATTAAAGTTTATGAAAAACTATAATTTCATTATATATTCTGTCTTAGAAAGAAACTATTTTCTTAGGGACAATTAAAACATTTTACAATAGTAGCTACATTTAGAACAGTCAGCTAGTGATGATATTAAGATGCTGTCCCAAAGCACGGAGAATTCTGAAATCCAAAAGACATTTAGCCATCCAACAACAGTCATAAATAGCGGTAAGACTCCAGGGTTCAAAATCACCTTAGGTAATAAAACTGGAAGGCACCATTGAGGCTAGATTTTCAAGAAAGCACACATGTTTTGAGGCAATCCTTAAAAACAAAACCAACAAGTAGAAAAACAAGAAAGGAAAATGTTTGAGTACCAAAAAGCTCACACATGTCAGCAGGTGTCTTGTTTTTGTTTACCTCAGGTATGATGATTAAGGCGGGGTGCCTTCTACAATTGCACACTGGCTTCAGAGGTAGCCACTGAAAACAGCTTTTGCCATAAGCATGTAAAGGGTAACTTTAGAAAATGAAAAACCACTTTCTTGTAAAATTAAATGTAGTTTTAAAATGAAATACTTGAGTGATAACCTCTTTCTCATGCATAGTGACAGTTATTTGTATCTTAACACCATAACTAAGAATAAAGAATAAAAACTAGTGCAAAGGTCTAGAATGATTCATACCTAAAATAGATCTTAATCATTAGTTTAACTCACTCCCTTTTCAGCTAAGGGGAAAATGATTAGTTGCCACTCTATACAAAGAAAAGAAAATCCAATTCTTTTTTTAAATGAGCACATTATTTTTAACGGCAAAGTAAAATAACGGGAGTGCTGTCTTTCATATTGTTTATCATTAATAAAACACTGACATTTCTCATAGTACTTGGACTATTTATATCACTATCTTACACAGTGGTAGTTAAATTATATTGATAAACAGCAGGCAATTAGACATCCTCAAAACAATTAATCAACTCTTGATTACCCACATGTGGATTATTTGCTTTCTAGATTATCTGTATCATTATTTCTAAAATCACAAAGTTATTTCCCTCTGTCTCTTGTTGAGCTTCTGGAAGTCTGCTTTCAACATTTAAATGTGAGTGCTCAAGGAATGCAAGCTCATGTGAGCATTATATTATGTTTAATAACTATGCCAGATGTGGATATAAAATATTGTCCAATAATTCATAAGAAGACTGACTTTTCTCAAATGGTTTTTAATAAAATATAACAAATTTTAAAAATCATAAAATCCTCTTCACAAGTTGGGTGGTGACATTGCTGATTTAGTGAAAATTTTCATTACTTTATAGTTCATAATTAGGAAGTTAATGACTGTCCTGTAAAAAAAGCATACTATAATTTCATCATCATATCATTTAGTCTTCACAATGACCATGTGATA